AACTGGGTAACTACCCAAATTTTATATGACGTAAGTGGGTAGTTACCCTTGACCTAAGAAATGTCTGCATCTCTATTGAATACATAATTAAAACTCACTTGTTGAATCGTTTCACTCTCATCATATTCCTCATAATAGAAATAAGCGAATGGAATCATGAATGCGCAGAATATAGCAATCGATCCATACATTGCTATAATATTTCGGTTAGTAATTCAGTAATTATTAATGATCGATTTGCCCTTTAAATTCGACTTCTAACTAATTCATTAATCCTACCATAATAAACACTCTTTAATTCATATAAAATTTGGTGAACTTCATCTTTAGTAGCCCAATCATGCTTTAACCCAGTATTTAAATTAACCGTTGAAGATACTAAAAATATATCTACGGGAAATAATGCTATTGCACTCAAACATAGTGTTAAAGAACAAATCGTGACAGTTGTAGCCAAAAGTTCGCTTTCACGATAGTCTTGATAATATTTGGTAAATAGAAAGCTAAATATAAATAGGGCCTTAATATTATCATTATTATAATAATAATAATAATATATAGAAAGTATATTAATGGTAGAAAAGAAAAAAGTAAACGGAGTGAGTTTAACACTTAAACACCAATGTATTCCTTATTAACTACTTACACCAGTAATTATAATAAAAGCTAACCAGGCTCCTGCAAGCACTGCCATTGCATTTCTCTTTATGGGATAAAAGTTTTTTTACAAACGGAAATAAAGCTCCTATTTGTACTTATTGGGAGCGGAGAAAAGTGACATGGTGAAAAAATGGACGCCGAATCACGCGACTAATTCTGTTGTATAGGATTTTTTAGATAATCAAAAAACTTAATCTGTTCCATATAATTATTATGTAATTTACGTAATTTTGTAACTTTGCATTTGTAACTTTGAACACATGATACGTAATTCTGAGATCAAATGTTTTTTTTTGCGCCAAATTTTTAAGAAACTATAGTTGATTCGATCACAAATATTTGATGACGTTTCACCTAATTTGCCAATCATTACAACTCTAGGACCCTGGATTTGCGCGACATGTACCCTTTAATGATAGATGTTCATGGAACATATTTCTGTCCCAAAACCAGGCTCTACAGAAGAAGCGAAAAAACTAAATATAACCTACCAAAAAACAACGCTTAGAATCACACAAACGGGAAAAATACAAAAATACGTTGAACATGGGTTAAAGGCGTTTCAGGTATTGTTAATTCTTTTATACACAACAATATACAGTCTGATCCCATTCTTAAAAAAGGATAATTCACGCAACGAAGAATTCGTAAATATTATCCTAATATTATCGGGTAAAGGACCAACGGTTACAAAAACGATAACAATAGCTGAAATACTTAAACGAAAGACGAACAGTTCTTTACATCAATATACACAGATCGGAAGAAGTAACGCTAGAGAAAATATTGATGATGCCATTAATAATATTCTGAATGGTGATGAGGATAGCGAGACCACTGTTAATTTGAATTATGATAAGGACGACAATGGGTAATTTATAAATTCGATATCAACATAATCTGATGGATACTAATTTATTGTTATTTCGTGAAGAGCGACACCAATTATCAATATATACCTTTGTACAAAAGCCGTGCCGTGTCTAGAAAACATTCTGGGGTAGGCGCCAATAATATGGTCAATAATTTTAAGATTAATTATTATTAACGTGTCTTTCATATCTTTAGTTACCAAAAGTAACAATATGGTCGCGACCAATTTTTTTTTTTGTTTTTGAATTGTGATAATTACTACATAATTTGGGTTTGGAATCAGATTGCTACTTCATTTGGAATATTAATCAGAAATATTTTGTCCCATATTTATTAAACAGTGTCAAAAACAAATCAAATTGTTAAATCAAAAAATATAAAAATTATTAAAACTTCGTTATTCTCATTTCAAATTAGGAATATTAAGAACCTAAGAGTGGTTTAACGATGGGATTCTGCAAGTGCCAGCACGTGCTATTTAAAACGGAGCCTGGACGCGTGCCTGGCACTTGTAGTGCCTCATTTAGCGACTAGACAAGATATGGTAGGTCTAATAGTTGTATCGGATGGTGAACTCCATAACAATTTAATCGAACCAATTCTATAAACTTGTGGGATTCATTTAAAAAAATTTGTATTGTTTGTTACTTTGTTTGAAAGTTCAAAAAATTTCAAGATATTTGGTGCCTCACCTAAAACAGTCTGAGACGTTCCAAACCACGCGATAATTATTGTCGCGGCTGATGCTGAAATTGGCTGATGCAGAAATTTTGACTTATTTTATTATGAAATTTTAAAAAATTTTCGGGCCTTTTCGTTAGGGTTTTTTTTTTAGTGTTAG